CCCGTGTCCACAAGGCTCCCAGTCTAGTCAGAGAGACTGATTGAAACACAGAGCAAAGTTCTCTGGACACACTCAGCTCTCTCCTTGAAGATCTAAGGGTTCCGTGACCTGGGGAGGTGACAGGGAACACCATGCGCCCAGGGAAGCCAGACTCCCGTCCCACCTCCTGTCCCCACCATGGCTTCCTTTTGCCCTGCTACTCTTCTTCCCGAGCCACTCCACCATCCTCTCCACCTGTCAGGTGTCACCAGTCTGGCTGCATCTAAGTGGGTAAGTGGGGATTCTCCCAGTGTCCCCGTTTAGCACTTCCTTCCCTGTCACACCCAAAGCAGCCTCAGGTTTCTCTCTGATTTTCTTTCCTGTGCAGCAAGACGACTGCAGAGCTGCAGTTCCTTGGCTGGGGCTGGCTGAGGGTGCATGGAGATGACCACGGGGAGTGGGAGAGCCAGGACTGCCCAAGGTAGGGGGCAGGAAACAGAACTGGGAACAACCAGTCCCTCCCAGCACCACAACCAGCAGGTGGTTCTGCACTGGCTGCTGCACACATTCACAGGCAGAGCCACCCTGCACCTCCTTCCCCATCCCATCTCCTCCCACCTGAAAGGGCCACCCTGACCTCCTTGGCCCAGCGTCATTCAAAGCTCCCATCAATGGGATCCTGTTTTCTAGGGCAGACGCCCTCTCTCTCTCCTTCAGCTGAACACTTCTTGCTATCATTCCTCCTTCTATCAAAGGACCTCCAGCCTGGACAGTCCCCTCACCCTTGCTCATGGGGAGTGATCAACACCTAAATTACCTGGGCTTTTCTGTGATGCCTTTGCCTGTCCCATTTTGTATAGGGATCACTTTGCCCCAAGGCTACAGCACAGGGTACAGCCTTGGTATCCATGGGAGACTCACCTGACTTAGGATTGCAGTTCTCACTCACAGCAATGGGGCCAATTTTCTGGGTCCCATTGAGCAGGTCACAGCCTGGTTTGGGCAAGCACCCCTGTACTTTCAGATTGGTGGCAATTCCCCCTGAGGGGAGAAGAAGAGAGGGAGACACAGAGTCACCGACAGAAGGACCATCCAACCCTCAGAGGGAAGTTCAGCCCCACCCTCTCCTTGGTCCCCTGCCCTGCCTAGGCTTACCCTTATTCCTTACCCAATGTCCAGGCTTACCTCCCCTGAGCTTGAGGACTCCATTGTAGCAGTGAGTCTGTCCCACAGGGCAGAACTGCTGTGAAGCCTTCTCTGGACAGTTGTATCTGGAAAAGCAGACTGGGCACTGCAGGGTCCCTAGGACTGGTGGGGTTGGGGCAGGACAGACAGATGAGGGGCACTGAGAAGACAGATGTCTTCTCTCCACCCACTGTGCTGGCCCAAGAATCAGCCTGCCCAGTCACCCCAACATGCCCTCCTCAGGCTCCTCTCAGCACCAGAGGGCATGGGGGCTCTCCTGGGCTGAGCACAGGAGGGACTCTGGGCCCCAGCTGAGGCAGATGAGGGGCCTCCTGGGACTGGACTCAGATACAGACTTGGTCAAGGAAGGGGGTGTTGCCTAGAAGGCACCAGAAGCTTCACCCACAAGTTCTACCATCCAGCCAAAGAAGGCATGATGCCCTGGTCACAAAATATTCCAGAGTTTGGAAAAGCAAGACATCACTCCAAACTGTTTTCAGCACCAGGTGAGGACAGTGCAAAGTTACAGCCACTCTTACTCAAGAAGAGGAAATGTCAAAAGCCCAGAAGAGAAAGTAGTGAAGTCAACTTATGGAAGGGAGGACTGAGCATGGAAGGGAGGACTGAGCCAGCTGACCAGCTGAGGATCAAGGTCAGCCTGATGTTGGTGGTTTAGCCTCAGAGAATGGGCCCAGTTGGGTGCTGCAGGACTGTTGGAGGAAGTGGGCCAGGGAGTCCTGAGCTGCTTGTGGGTGGAGCAGTGGGAGGGAGGGGAAGCCAGGGGAAAAGATGGAGAGCCAGGGACCAGGGAGGGAGCAGGGGGCATCCGAGGGAGGGATCCAGCAAAGGGGAGTCTGCAAATACCAGCTTCACCCTGGGTGCTGAGGTCAGCCCTCAGCCCTGTGCTCCTTGCTCCAGACAGCCCCTTCCCTCTCCTCCTGAGCTCCCAACCCCCCCCCCCCGACACCTGCAGCAGGGGGCAGGGTCCAGAAGGCATCGGTGGAGGACAGGTCGTTGCAGAAGTCTTTATGGCGGCACACGCGCGTGTAGGAGATGATGGTGAGTCCGGGGCCCTTCCTGTGCTCACTGACGTGGCCTTCTTGATCCTCCGCCTCAGTACAGCCCTTTGTGAGCACCACATTCACGAGGGGTCCTGGAAGGAGAGAGAGGAGCAAGTGCGGGTGGGGATCAGAACTTCAGCGTCCTAGAGGGATGACATGCTGCAGGGAAGAGGACATGGCACCGAATATGTTGCAGCTGCTGAGGAGTGGACAGGCCTCCAGGGACTGGGGACGGGGCCTTCCTCCCAGGGCGCTGAGGGCGGGGCTGAATGGGAGGGGCGTCCTTACCATTCACCACGAGGATCACCGTTTCCTGGCAACCCTGGCCTTGGGCGCAGGATTCCCAGCCAGTTGTCCACTGGAGGGGCAGTTCTGACACATTCCTTACGGCCTCGATTGCCCCCCACTTGCATTCCAGGGCCTGCGCACCTGGGATTGAAAACGCAAATCTATTTTAGCAGGTTCCTCTGCCCCGTCTCCAGCAAAAACCATTTGCAAGTTGGGTCCTCATTCACAGGCAGCAACCAGTTGACGCCTGCCCTGTGCTAGCCCTTGTTTCTGTGCTGCACTGAGGCTGGAAATCTTGGTGTCAGTGACAGCCAGCCCCGTGTCCACAAGGCTCCCAGTC